TGGTATAATGGATGGGGCACTGGCCCTGGAGTCAGGAGGACCTGAGCTCAAATCTGGCCTCAAACACTTAACAGTTACTAGCTGTGTGACCCTGGGCAAGTTACTTAACCCTAATTGCCTCATCAGGAAAAGAATTTTTAAAGAAACGGATTGTCTTTGGGGGCCGCTAGATGGTACAATGGATAGAACACCAGCCCTGGAGCCAGGAGAACCTGAGTTCAAATCTGACCTCAGACACATATAGCTCATTAGCTGTGTGACTGTGGGCAAGTCACTTAACCCTAATTGCCTCACACACAATAAAAAATTGTTTTTCAAAAAAAGTGGCAATTGTGTTCATGGAAATTGATGAGATCACTTAGAGAAAATGTAGAGAGAAGAGGGGATCTATGACAGAACCCCAGAGTATGCACATATCTAGGAGGCATAAATAATGATCCTGTAGGTAGAATCTGAGGAGCAGTTAACATTAGGAAGAGAATTAGGAGAGAAAAATATCATGAAAACCCAGAGAAGAGAGAGTATACAAGAAGAAGAGGTGAAAAGTAGGGCCAAATGCTGTGGAAGTTCAAGAAGAATGAAGATTAAGAAAATGCAATTGAATTCAGCAATAAAGAGGGCAATGCTGACTTTGGAGAACGTGGCTTCAGATGAATTGAGGCATCAGAAATTAGATTGCAAGGGGTTAAGAAGTAACTAGGAAGTAAGGAATGTAGATAGCTTCTTCTAGGAGTTTGGCTGTGAAAGGCTGGAGAAATGTAGGATGATTGCCTTAGAGGATGGCAGAGTCAAGTGAAAGTTTTTTGGGTTTTTTAAGATGAGGAAGACCTTAGCAAGTTTTAAGTAATAAGGAAAACTAAACATCAGTGAGAGGCAGAAATGATCAAAGGAGGGAATAGGATAAAGAGAGGGGTTGGCCTTGGCAAAAAGAGTTGCCTCTTCCTCAGAGACTGGAGAAAAAGGGGGAAATGGGAGAGTGACACGAAGGGGGTTGAAATGTAGACTTGAGAAGAGTGAGCTCATAGTGCATGGCCTCCTTTTTCTCCATAAAGTTTGAGGTGAGGTTCTCGGTGAAAGGAGAGGATAGGAACATTCTTCACCTTACCTCAGTCTTCTTATTTCTACACGAAAACTTTCTGTTCCCTTATTAATCATAGGATTTAGATTGGAAGGGACTTTCAAGTCTCTGGTTTGATCTGGTTTGGGGCTCCTCATGGCCAACTAATCCTGAATCTGAGGTAAGCCGCAGTGTTTTCTCCACTTTCATCCTCAGGCCACTGAACTGCTAGTTAAAGTCACGAAATTGCCAGATGAGCTCATTCTACAATCGTGCGGTTTAAGCTCAAGTGGAACCTCCTTGTTTCCCAGAAATCCTTTTATTGATTCTGTGCCACATTTCACAGGAGCTATTCAAAGCTTTTCCACCTTCATCTTATGTTTAATCGATGCTCTGAGCAAATCTTTTCTCCTGCTCTGCAGAAAAAAAAAATTGATACCATCCAGTCCATGTTCCCTCAGCTCATCTGTTGTATTTTCAAACTTCTCTGTATCTTTGCTCAAATTTTCTTTGTTCTTGTATCAGAATTCTTTCTCACATGCTCTAAAACTTTGTTTAATCAGTTTTTCAGTGTCACGTATCTTTAATCTCTCTTCCTTGGCTCTTTCCAGGTGTGATTAGGTATTGAATACTCATTAAAAACCCTCTTTACTACTGAGACGACTTCCCATGGCTCTCCTTCACAGAAAAAACACTGGACTGAGAGTTAGAAGACATAAGTTCAAATTCTCCAACTAACTGTGTAACTTTCAGCAACTCATCTCAGCCCTCTAGTTCTCAGTTTCCTTATCTATAAAATGAGAGGTCTTTAATTTTTATTTTATTTTATTTTATTTTTTGGCTAGGCAATGGGGCTAAGTGGCTAAGCCCAGGGTCACACAGCTAGTAAGTGTTATGTGTCTCAGGGCGGATTTAAACTCAGGTCCTCCTGAATCCAGGGCCGGGATTATATCTACTGCACCACCTAGCTGCCCCTTTAATTTCTTGAAAAGTCTAATCTGTGCATCCATTACCTCATTATCAAATCATCACATGTCATTGTTCAGTCATTTCAGTCATGTCCAACTCTTTGTGACCCCTTTGGGGGTTTTCTTGGCAAAGATACTAGAGGGGTTTGCCATCTCATTTTCCAGTTCATTTTACAGAGGAGGAACTCAGGCAAACAAGGTTAAGTGACTTGCCCAGAATCACATGGCTACTAAGTACTACGGCCAGATTTGAACTCAGGAAGATGAGTCTTCCTTTCTCCAGACATGGCGCTCTATCCACCAAGCCACCTAGCTGCCCCAATTGTTATGTAACATTTTGCAATTTGGGTTTTTTGATAATAGCAGGTCACATTTATATGATGATTTAAAATACAGAAGGCTTTTTACATGTATTATCTCAATTGATCCTCAAAACAACCCTGTGAGTTAGGTGCTATTATCCTCATTTTGCAGATGAGGAAACTGAAGGGCAGAGAGGTTAGGTCACTTTGCTAGGATCATCCATCTAATAACAGTCTGAAATGGAATTCGAACCCAGGTCTTCTGTGTCCAGTGCCCTATCCTTATGCTATGCTACTTCTCAACAAAGGGGAATAAGAGTACACAAGCAACAAGGAGAATGGCAGAGTCAAGTGAAAGTTTTTCGGGTTTTTTAAGATGACGAAGACCTTGGCAAAGTATATAAAGTGAAGACCCTGTTTGTTTTCTCTGAATCAAATCTATCAGCCTGACTTCAAAACCATGTTTCTTCCTTGCTATTTAAATTTTATTTGATACTGGTATTAATTTCTGCTTCTTATTTGGAAAAAAATTTAGGTATAGATATGATCTCAATACTCCACAGTTCAAAAATCATGAATGGCTCCCCACTCTCTACCAAAGTGAAAACTTTTTGTTTAGTATTCAGAGCTTTCCACAATCACTCTAGTACCAGCCTCATTTACCAGCTTTGTGGTACTCTTTCCTCATGTCATCTTTTTCTGCTCAGCTCAGCAGAAAATTCCCATACCTTCACATGTGTGCTTTTGTTCAAGCCATTATTGTTAGAAATACAAATTAATTTTTTTTCTCTTTGAAGTAAAAAAGGTGTGAAAAATATTTTGAAGTGAAAAACAAAATATCTTCTAAGCTTCCAAACAAACCACTTTTTAGGCTAATATTAAAGCAGGAGGGGCAGTGAGGCTTGGCAGTCAGAAAGCCCTAAGTTCAAGTCTCATATCTGACAAAGATACTATCTGAGTGACAAGCAATTATTCCCTAAAACTCTGAGTTGTAAAGAAGTTGTCCTTTCCTCAGTGGGAGTTCCCTATAGCAATAAAATCATGAGTCTTGTCCAAATAAAATAAAAGCTTCATTTTTTACTGCAAAATAAATTTCTTTCAGTTCATTTTGAATATAGTAAAAAGAAATAGAATCAGCTATTTCATTTTTTAATAATAGATTTTTCTTTTTCACTTGCTTTCTTCCTAGAATATTCTAAGTACTAGTATAACATCTTGTTATACTAGTATACAAGTATAACACCTTGTTATACTAGTATACAAGTATAACCTTGTAAATGATCTACTAATTATTTTTTGTTGTTAATCAAAATGAATATGGTCATTTTATTTTATCCTGTTTCTATATAACCATGCTTTTTAAAATTATTTTTTGCTTTCAATTTAAAATCTATGTAAGTATAATTTTAACTGTTTGCTTATTGATAACTGAAGATATAGCTTGATTTAATATGAATATGACTGAAATTGAATGGTTCAATTCTTCATTCCAACCAGAAAATCTGAAACTCTCTTTCAAAAAAATTTATAATAATCTGCTTCTGGGTCATCTAACTTGTCACTTTATTTTATGGTTTTTTTTTCACTTTACACACAAGGGGAAAAGTCCCCTCACTTCAGTGTGCATTTACTGAAATGCCTCTCTTGGTATTTAATTGTACACTGATGGAGACAAATGTTCCACTTGCCATTTGCTTCACATCTCACCTTGTGAATATATGTGAGCAGCATAGAACTGTGATTTATGGAACTCTCAAAAGATGTCATTGCAGTGGCAATTAATGTATGGTCCCTGCTGCTGTATACAATAATTGCTCCTGGAAATTAGATATTATTCTTAATTTTCCTTACCGTTTGTCAGGTACAGGTTTGTTGTCTTAGCTGCCATGACAGATCAAGTGACCTTGGCACTCGGTGCTAAACTCATGGGACTGAGGAATTTGACAGTTCCACCAGCACAAAATTATGTGTTTGACATGAAACTCATGTTGCTTTACCAAGACTATATGAATCCTTCTTACTTTGGAAAGCTGTGGCTTTAGTTTTAGGTTTCGTAAGAGCAGATGGATGAACACACACACACACACACACATATACATATTACAATACTGCTGATTTAATTCCTCTCAACTTAACAAACATTTATTAAGCACCTATTGTGTGTATCATAGAAGACAGTATTGCCTAGTAGTTAGCTGTCCTGAGATTAAGGAAATCCTGCTTCTGATACATGTTTACTATGTAGCCTTGGATAAATCATATAACCTCTTAGTAACCCACACAACTCCTTAAGACTCTAATTTACAGATCAGGTCTAACTTAATAGAGAAAGTTCTTCTCTGTGGGCCTTATACACCAATGAAATCATCAGCCTGATTTTTGCAAGTGTCTACCACCCTGTGCAAAGCATTGAGAAAGATGCAAAAATAAATAAGATGCTTTCCTGTCTGCCTCCTCTACTAAACAAAAAGCATCCCCGACACACATGGTAGAAGAGCAAATAACACAGGACGAGAGGATCTTGGCAATAAACAGCAAAAATACTTTGATACATTATATTTCATTCCATCAAATAATAATGTGATATAGATGTTGGCATTTTTTATTACTGAACTGTCTTGAACATGTTTTTTTTTCTTCTCCCTTCCTATCCTAAATTTCCTCTCCCTACAGAATTATTTCTGTGGAATTACCAGCCGATGCACAACAGTTTGGAATTCAGTTCAGATGGTGGCAACCATATCACTCCTCCCAGGGGGAAGATGTCTGGGCCATTGATGAGATAATCATGACTTCAATACTTTTCAACAGCATCAGTCTTGACTTCACTAATCTAGTGGAGGTCACTCAGTCTCTGGGATTCTACCTGGGAAATGTTCAGCCCTATTGTGGCCATGATTGGACTCTTTGGTAAGGATATAAATGCTTTATTGTAATTAGACAATCAGTTTTAGCAATTAAAAGATGCATTATGAAGGATTTATGGTGGTGCAGATTTGTATAAAAGTGGACTGGATTAACAAAAGGGGTTATAGAAATGCTCTTTGGAAATTTTTAAGTAAAATCATTTGTGTCATCTTGCTTAGAAGTAGGAGGATGGATTCTTCCAGCTCTCTGACTCTTTAAATATGGTTATAAAATATGGTTCTGAGAGAATTTTACTAACTTTACTACTGAGTACAGGGCAGGACTATTTGATTTCTCCAGATGAATCTCTTAGGTTGTTATTCCTTGTAATTGTCTCCAGAGTGCATATCACCAAATGTCCAATCAATGACCTAATCATAATTAGAGGTAAATTTTATACTCCAGTGCACAGAGAATTACCTTTGATGGGATTGTGCATGTACAGTGATTTCCCACACACAGCAGGATAAAATTTTTGCTTCAGAATTACTGCTAATGGAAATGAAAGTACAGCTGATCACTTTTGCTCTGCGCTCTTTCAACCTAGACAGAATGAAAGAAATCTATGAAAAATATGAAAAGGTCATATTTGATGCTTTGTCAGTTGAAAATCTTTCATAGCAAGTTTCTGTGTGTCATTTTTTAAAGTCTTGTTAGGAAAGAGAGGAAAATTATTGAGCTTAAGTGAGGAGACACAAGCATAAACAAAAAATTGACTCCTTTGAATTTTATATATTAGATTTTTAAAATCTAATTCAGTTTAGTTATGTACCTAGAAACTACAAATTGAAATACTTAAGTCTGTACAGTAGTAGTTTTAGTACTTTGTAATATAACAATGATACCATATCATAAATGCAAGTACTAAATGAAGTGTTTATTTTTTAGAAATGGTTTACATCTTATTTTTTAGAAATAGTTAACATTGGCTGAAGTAAATTCCAAACTTGCTGAGTGTGTCGTTTTGACATGGGTTGAATGCATGATAACAGCAGTTTAATTTCTGTGCTTTGATCAAAACCCTAAGAACAATATCCTTTCATACAAGTCTGATGAATATTTTTAACCTACTGCCACTTTAATTGGTCCAGATACATTTACTCTAAGAAAGAACAATCATAATAATTATAGAAAAACATAAGGAAATGTAAATAATTGTACAATCCCCATGGGCACCCTGAACAGTACTGTAGGAGTTTTATTAACAAGTACATTTGAGCAATCTCATTTGACTTTGTGATCATCTCTGAAAGTAAAGGAAGTTGACTTGATTCTGCAAATAACAGAGAGTATGATCAGGCAGTGATAATGAGGACATAGAAACACATTAACCACTTTAATAAGGACAAGAAAAGTGCTCACTGCTCATTAAACTCAAACAACATGGTAGATCTCAAACTGTTCACATTTTCTTAGCCAGTGAGTTAGAATAAAAACCCCTTTAACTATATTGTTTCCTCATCTGTTACTAGCATATCATCTAGGACGTGTTTCAAGAATCAATGTCAACATACAACTTTAGCAATACTTTTTTGTAACACTTGTTACAGTATTCAAAATAAAATTGTCACATTGGAATAACTTAAAATTCATATGTCAGTTGTAACTTCCTAGTTAGAAAAAACCAAGCTGATCTATTTCTTGATAGAAAACCATTGTAGTATATTATTGTATTATGTAAACATTCTTTAGGATACATTCTAAGATGTGAACTATACCCTTCACTGACCTTGTTTCTCTCCAGGGAAATTCTTTAAGTTCCGCAAGATCTGTACAAATGGCTGGTGTTAAATTAATTATTGTTGGCTTTTCCCAGCTGTGAGTTCATTTGGCTCTCATTTTCTAACTCATGACTTTCCATGAGCATGGATTGCTAAGGCACTGAGAGTGTTCTCCAGGGAAAACTTAGACAATTGCTTTTTCATTAGGAGAACTATAGTCAATATGCTATAAATCACTCGACAGCATGTCATCATAGAGCACTTTTTCAGTGGAGGAAAGAATTGCTTATAATTATCTGTGATGCTTTCATTTCTTACTGAAAATCCATAAATCAGGGCTTACATCAACTTTACACTGTAGAAAATCCTTCTTGAAAACTTTCCACATATACATTTTAAACAAAACATCATAAAGTTAATTATTTCCTTTGGAGTTTGAGATTAAAACCCACAAAATGGACCCAAAGAGATATCACAAATAAGAAACCATATTCTCAAATAATTCTGTATCTGGGGCCTCAGAATGAGTGCTTCTACAGAGGGATGGTCATGATGGCATTTTAGAAATGTTGTCTATTTTTGGTGGATAGAAGGAGATACTGGAAAATGTGTCACTGTTTATTTGAGCACAAAACATGGTATCTCTTGTACTGTTTTGAAGTCATTTTAAAACCAACTTAGTCACCAAAACCAATTTGCCATCTTCCTTTCTAGAAAGACAACAAACAGCATTTTGTCTGAGTCATATTCTCTGAAATGGGAGCATATTCCTTGGATTTTAAAGAACGAGACAGAAATATTTCACCAGAAGTCATATACACATATATATATATATACACATATACATCTACATACATACATATAAGTAATATGTGTGTCTGTGTGTATATACATATATGTATATGTATATGTATATGTATGTATGTGTATACACACACACATTTAAGTACTTGGGAGGGAGTTGCTTTGTTTTTACAAAGGTTCTAAATATTTGTCCCTTTTTTCAGTATAGGAAAACAGGTTCTTCAGAATTCCATTCAGAAGTAAGTTGTAAGGAATTTAGAAAAAAAAATTTTCTAAAAACAGTGTTTGGATGGTATTTAGTCCTGGACCCCAAAAACTTACTTAATGTCTGATGTAGATAAAATACTGCACATTTATAATAAAGAGTTTTATAGATATAGTTAAATATATAGTTTTATATAGAGATATAGTTATATATAGTTATAGTTATATTTCCAAAACTAATTGTTAACAAAACAAAATCAATAGCACTAAATAATGTGATGGTTTTTAAATTGTATTTTGAATACTTCTTGAAAAATAGATTTAATTTGAGAAGAAGATAGACACTCTTAAGGTTCTGAAGGGGATCAGGAGGCATTTTTAAAGGTTTCAAAAGTTGATAGCACTGGTTTTTTTATCTCATTTTCTTGACATATTTCCTTTTTCCCTCAATACCAGTATGTTACTATTTTTATACATATTAGTCATAACTAGGGTCATATTTTGAGTAACAAAAGGAGTGGAGAGGGAGGCAAAGGAGAAATATTTTTCTGAAGTAATTGGGCAAGATTCGAAAAAGAGACTAGAAAAAGGGAGATTAAAGATAATTGCACACATGTGAGAAACAGACTGAGGTGAAACTCAGTGTAAATGATGAAAGACAAGAAAATGGGGAAACTTAGCATGTGCACAGTTGTCCCCCTGCCCTGAAGGGAAAGGGAAAGATGTTGTGAAGTTGTTGGGTCAGAGAGTTTCACATATTGCCCATCACGTAGCACTGTAGACCTAGGACATATTGGACACTGTCCAGAGCAAGGAAGGGGTTACAGAGTTGTTCTGGGATGTGGAGAGGTGAAGGGAAAGATTAGGGAGGAAGAATAAAACAGCTTCTGAAAGCTAAGTCTAGAAGAAGGCAGTGTGGAGTCAGTGGTTTATGGGGACAGGGCATTCACTGGTTGAATGCTCTTGACTCAGGGAGATCTATGAGAATAAGGAAACATTTACATGGAGAATTAAGGAATGTTGGGAGAAACTGGTAATATTATAGTTCTGATATTGCAATTGAGAAGCTTTTCAGTGTCATAGAAGAGAGCCTTGGAGCTAGGGTGACCTTGTATCAAGTCTTGCCTCTAATTTGTACTTAATGTGGGGCACAGGGTAGTTTGCTAGATCAGTACTCTCTGGCAACTCTCAAAAGATATTTTTCAGACAAGGAATTGTGTTCTGGCAATGTAATTTCATCACCAGGATTTCCCTACACCGATGAAACCACAGATTCAGTAAAAAGACAGACAGACAGATAAATTCAGTTTTATATTCAAGCTTCAACTATGGACAGAAATATACTAGTCAGAACATTTTGAAGAGAGACATCTAAGGGAAAAGATATTGAGAATGAGGGAGACTCAAAGGATGGTGATGGACTTGACAGGAATAAGGAAGTTCAAAAGAGGGATGGGTTTTGGAGAAACCATGATACAAAGGTTTACAATGTATTGTTATGTATATATATATAGATCATTTGGCTCTCTCTCTCTCTCTGTATATATATAATATATATACATATATATATATATTATATATACACACACATACACACACACATACAGAGAGAGAGAGAGAGAGAAAGAGAGAGAGAGAGAGAGAGAGAGAGAGAGAGAGAGTCAAATGATGTAAGTGTAGTAAATAAAATTAGGGTATGAAAAGATCTACCTCAAAAATTATAAGGTATATACTCAATTACAGAAATAATTAGAAAGCAGCATCTCTCTAGGCTAATGACTATCCAGTGTGACTCCTATAAAATTTACCAAGTAGGCATGATAAAGCAATTCCTTGACTCATATGTACACAGTTCAAGCATGGAGAAAAGTAGAATAAGATATTCTCCCACATCCACTGATCTATAACTTACAAATAAGCATCAGAATAAAAATTCGTTGTATTGAAATTTACTTTCCTTTTGATTAATTTTTGGTAGCAGTTTGTGTTTGGGAAGTAAATTTACTATTCTTAAGGGTATTTCCTGCTGGAAGATATTTTGAGTTTATCTGTAGCAGAGTTCCTGAAGGTAGGAAAAAAAATGAACCTAAAAGAAGGAATAAGGTGATAATGACAAGGGTGACTTTCAAAAATATTTCAAATGTCAATTTTGAGGGCTTGCTAAAGAATTACATAAGGCCCAAATTATTACAAAGTCCCTAATTTTAAAAGGAAGGAAATTGACTGAAAACTGGCAGAATAATTGAATTTCGGAGCTGGAAGAAAACCCAACAG